TTTGAGATCAACCTGGGCAACATGGCAAGACCCCCTCTCTAAAAAAATGTTTTTTCAAAAATTAGGTGTGGTGGTGACTATAGTCCTTGATACTTGAGAGGCTGAGGGGGACGATTGCTTGAGCCCAGGAATTTGAGGTAACAGTGAGCTATGATTGGGCCACCACACTCCAGCCTGGGTGACAGAGCAAGACCTTGTCTCTAAAAAAAAAATAGTAAACTGAGGCATCATACAATATTGAACAAACAACAGTTCTTGAACTGGGCAACTCGAAGCCAGAAGTGGTTCAGGACTTCACTAAAGAAGAGTAGGGGACAGGCTTTTATAGAATGAATGTATAAATAATAGATAATATTTAATTGGTTACAAAGTTGGCTTCATTGGTCTATGAGTTTGTGGGGTACTTCTGATTGGTTGAGCTTCATTTCTGTTTTTCTTTAACACAGACTTGTACAAGAAATAGCTCAAGTTAAGTTTTGCTTATGTTTGCAAATCAAGCAAGGTTCAGGTCCCTTTTGAGGCCTAACTGGTTTTGTCTGCTCAGTGAGTCTTCAGGCCTGGTCTCAATTTTAATGTACTTTAACAAGTCTCATGACTTCTCTGAAAAACATCACTGGATCCTGCCCATTTTACAGATGAGGAAGGTGAGGTTTAACGAGATTAGGTGATTCCCCGGCTCCCCAAATCCAGCAAAACTAATCGATGGAGTCTGCTTATCCCACTCTGGTCCGCTCCCAAGTTTAATGACTAGGGTGGTTCTCATCCGGCTCCAGCTGTGCTTTGAGCATGTTTGCTCCATCGCTTGCTTTGGCAAGTATATCGTTGATTCCTCCCACTTAACATCAGCTCTAGTTTTAAAAAATGATTATAGAAAAAGTCAAACCAAAAAGTCTGAGAAGGGTATAGTCACACCCTGTGTAACCATCTCCCAGATCCAACAATGCCCAGCTCAGGGCAGCCTGGTTTTGTTCATATCCCACCTGCAGGCCCCTATTTTCAAACAACTCCCAATAAATATTTCAGTGTGTCTCTCTCGGCACTTAAAAACACCCTCAATCTCATTACCATACCTAAAAAATTAACAATGATTCCTTAATATCACAAATATTCAGTCAATATTCACACATCTCTGCTTGTCTGTGTAAAATATAACCAGTTTCAGCCAGGCGGGCGCCGTGGCTCACGCCTGTAATCCTAGTGAATCTGGGAGGCCGAGGCAGGAGAATTGCTCAAGGTCAGGAGTTCAAAACCAGCCGGAGTAAGAGCGAGACCCCATCTCTACTAAAAGTAGAAAGAAATTAATTGGCCAGTAAAGTATAGAAACATTAGCCGGCATGGTGCATGTGTAGTCCCAGCTGACTCGGGATGGCTAAAGGCAGAGAAGGATCGCTTGAAGCCAGGAGTTCGAGAGGCAAGGCTGAGAACGTCGAGACCCTTCATACTCTTACTGAAAAAAAAAAACTTAGCCGGCAATGGGTGGCACGTGCCAGGACGTTCGGGCTTAGCAGTGAGCTGTGATGAGGCACTGTGACTCTAGTTGAGGGCAACAGGTGAGACTCATGTGCTCAAAACAAATCCAACAAAAAAGTACCAGTTCTGTTGAATCGGGGATCCGAAAGTTCTAATCATTGGATGTTATGACTCTGAAAGCCTCTTTTAACGTCCATAGGTTTCGTCCTGTTCTTTGTGTTTTCTCCTTTACTGTTTTGTTGAAGAACCGTCTGTCTGCAGACTCCCCATAGGTCTGAGGTTTGTAACTGCAACTGCTAGTTCATTACACGAGCCTCTAGGCCTTGTAGCCTTATTTATAGGTGATCACAAAAGTTCGATTGATTACAGTTCAGTTTATATATAAAAAAAAAAAAAAAAAAGTTCGATTAGATTTGGTTTTTGTTTTTTTTTCAAAATCTCTAGGGTCTAGAAGGATTATAGAAAGGTAAATTTGGACAACAGTTGTCAAGAAAGCGTTGGCAGGCTAAACACACAGAACCTTCGGGGCCGGAATGAGGGGGCAGTGTGCGTGGAGTGCGAGAGCCAGTGCAGTCTGGGAGACCGGCACGGCTCCCCGCCCTGTCCCACTTCTGTGCTCTTCGCGTTGTTCATGCCTCTCCTCTCCCGATGGGATCACCTGACGCCAGCAAGGCACGTGTTCTGTGGGGACTGTCCCTGGAGCCAGCCTTCCCTGGGGCGTATGACATTGCTATTTCTAGCCAGATGGCAAGAGGGACCAGCATTCTCAAGCAGCTGCTGTTATGACACAGAGCATTTCCTCAGAGAGACACAGAGTGGCTCTTCAAAAATAATTTATTGGGGTGTAGTGGCCCGTTTTGTAAAGGGACATCAAACTAGTTTGATTTTTAAATGTGTGTATTTTTAATTTTTGTTTGTTTGGTATTTTTGGGGGGTTTTTTTGAGACAGAGTCTCACTTTGTTGCCCAGGCTAGAGTGAGTGCCATGATGTCAGCCTAGCTCACAGCAACCTCAGACTCCTGGGCTTAAGCTGTGGAGAAAAATCTAACCTGCCGTTCTGCTTCTGTAAATTGCGCTCGCTCAACCCTATTCCCTCCCCCTCTGGCGCCGGCGCCACTCTGTAACTCCCCGAAAACCGCTTGCCGTTAGTCCTTGGAGTTTATTGACCAAGATTAGAAGTTCCCGATATTAGCCCATCTGGTACATGTCTGTGCAAGGTCAAAGCCCATGGAATTTCCCCCCACCCTGTGATCCCTAGCCACCTGCGTGTGGCTTCTGCCTATAAAAATCCTAAGGAAAAAAAGGCCGGCGCGGCAGCTTCCCTAGCTCGCTTGCCCCTGCGCTGCGCTGGAAAATAAAACCTCATGCTTTTGCATCAAGTCTCTGGACTCTGAGTCTTTTTTAGGCGGTCGTCTCTCCCCCACACGGGCTGTACATTTCTGCGGCCTAACATTTTGGGGGCTCGTCCGGGATCGGAGAGGTGACCCCTCTTAAAAGACCGGCAGCACCAGGCTTGGAGGTGGGCAGACTCCGGAGTCATCCTTTATGTTTGTCTCTGTGTTATATGTGATGTGTCAGTTTTGAAGTTTGAATTTGGATCGACAGGGTGTTGACTCCGTGAGGAGAAGACTCCTCTGGGCAAATAGAGGTTTTGTGACCCAGAAAAACTGTCGCCCTAGAGGACGCTCCAGGGATTAGGGGTGACCAGGTGGCCTTGGTCGACTCCATTTGTTTGCCTGCAAGTCGTTGCAGGATTGGGCAAGATAACCCTAGGGTAAGATATCGTCCTTTGTCTGTGTTTGGGTGCAGAAGCAAGTGGCTTCGGTGTTTGTCTGCTGTCTGTGTTGTCGCTCTTTTCTCTTTTATTCTCCTTTTTACTCATCCAGGAATTATGGGCCAAGGGAAGAGTACTCCTCTCTCCCTCACCCTGACACATTGGAAGGAAGTACGAGACCGGGCCCACGACCTGTCCGTCATCATCCGGAAGGGCCCCTGGCAGACGTTTTGTGCCTCTGAGTGGCCCTCCTTCGGTGTGGGGTGGCCCTCAGATGGAACTTTTAACCTCTCTGTTATTTTTGCAGTGAAGAAAAGAATCTTCGCGCCACACCCCTAAGGACACCCGAATCAGGGCCCCTACATCGTTGTGTGGCAAGATCTCGCCCAGAACCCCCCCCTTGGGGCAAGACTGCGGGTTTCCCCTCTGGCCCTAGTGGCCCAGACGACTTCGGATCCAGCCCGGCAGTCTCGGCCATTGACTGACCCGCAGGCTGATTCCCTCCTCCTTGATTCTCCCCCACTTTACCCCCCTCTTCCACAGGTCGCCCCTTCACGATCAGGGCGCGCCCAACCCTCGGCCCCCTTGGCTGGGGGACCAGCTCAAGGCACCAGGAGCAGGAGGGGTTTTCCTCCGTCCCCAGATTCCACTGTGGCTTGTCCCCTTCGTCCTGTGCCGATTCCCAACCATAGTTCCGGGGAGGGTGACGACGCAGCCCCCCGTCGCTCCCGTCTACCTTCTGCCGTATTGAAGTCCCAGCCAGGCCGAGTCATAGGAAAAGCGGCATCCATTCCAAGGGGGGAGCCACGGACCCGGCGAGAGGCGCGAGACCCGGGCCGGCCGCGGCGAGAGAACCGCCCCTCGACCGCTAACCGCGACCCGGGGCGGCGGGGGGGAGAGGCCAGACGCGGGGCTAAGCCGCGCCGACGGGCCCTCGCACCCGGGCTTGACGCGCTAACCCGCCGGCGGGCCGCGGGGACCGGGGAGCAAGGCGGAGCCGGGAGGAGGGGGGGCGGGCTGAGGGGGCCGGACGAACGGGAAGGGGAGTGGAGTAGGGGCTCTCAGGTCTGCGGAACATTCTTCCGTGCTTAAGATTATTCGTTCGTTTCCTTGTGGTAAAAGGGTCCTGGAGCAGGGGCGCTGAG